AACATGTGAAAATATGGGTGTTGTTGATCTGTTTACTATAAACACATAAATAATTTGTAAACGTTGTTTATATGAACACATGAAAATATGAGTGTTGTTAATCTATTTATATAAATACATAGATGATCTGTAAACGTTATTTATATAAACATATCTTTTTGATCTTGTTTTCTTGAAAGAATATATGTGTATGTGTTCGTGTAATGTTGTGTTTGTTGAAATTTTGTTTGTTGTGATGTGTGTGTCTCTTTACTGTATAGTTAATGAAGCTTGAACGTCCCTTTGAATTTTATGGGTATTTGAGTTTAGACCAATTTATCAGTCTAAATTATTGCTTGTAAGGTTCCTCTTGGTGTCTAGAAAGGTGTTAACCTGTACTGGCCTGGTTGAGAGCTTTGTGAGATTTATGTTGGACTTTTAAGAGCTTACAGTGATTCAGTTTTTATCTTTGTTTGTTCTTCCTAAAAAAGAAAAATTTTGTGTAGAAAAGTTAGAAGTCTTTAGATACTTACCTGTTCCTGTACTGTAACTAGTTTGTTCTATAATGTTTCTTGTAAGTGGATGGTCTTTGATATTGATTTTCTCTTGTTTTTTGGGCTGGCTTTTCTTTTTTCAAAAAATTATCAAAAAAGTAAATTTTTAAAAAATGGGAATCAGCGGAAAGAGTTTTTTTTTGGGCTAGTCAAGTTTTATAAATTAGCTAGAAGTTTTATAATTATAATTACTATTTAATTTATAATTACATTATTATTATTAACTATTTATTAGTAATCCATTTATTAATGTTAATTATTTATTTATTATAAAATAATTAATTATAAAAATTATTAAATTAAAAAATTATCATTAAAATAATTTTAATAACATTATAAAACTCAAATAATTAAATCCAGAATATTGTTCAGATTTATTTATAATATTAATACTAACTAAAATATAATTAATTATAAAAAATTAATATAAAATATTAATACAAATTTTTAATAAAGATTGTTATAATTTTGAATATTATTTTTAAAAAAAAAAGTTAAACCATTAAATCTAAAAAAAATTAAAATATATTTGTATTATTATATGTACTTATATATAATAAATAAAAAAAATTTTTATTTTTCATAAAAAATATAATTTAATATAATTTTTAAAAATAAATTTAATTAACTGCATATACCAAGGTTTATATTTTAGTCGCGCGAGCCTTCATTCCTAATCCAGAAAATAAGCCTTATGTTAACCACATTGATGGTATCAAATATGATAATCGAGTAGATAATTTGGCATGGGTAACTCCTAAAGAGAATGCTGAACGTAAAGTACTTCCAAACCGTGGTCGTGGCAGGACCAGGAAAATTGTTCAGAAAACTTTGGATGGAAATGTCATTCAAATTTGTGATTCCATCGCTCTTGCAGGTTATACGTACACATAAAATTTTGAGACCTCATATTTCGGCGTGTTGTAGTAGAAAGCGAAATATTGCTGGTGATTGGCGTTGGATGTATTATGAGGATTATTTAGAACAAGATCTAATGATGAGTGGAAAGAAATAGAGGTTGATTCACGAAAATTTAAAGTTCCATCTCTTGGGAGAGTTCAGTTGCGCAATGGTTTAATCTCTCGGGATCATTAGACTCAGGATATCTCCGAGTGGAAAAATATTATATTCATCGGTTGGTAGCATTAGCATTTTGTCTAAAAGAAGAAGGCAAAGAATGCTTAAATAATATTGACGGTGACTCTACTAACAATAATGTATCCAATCTCGAATGGTGTATCCCAAATGAAAATTCTCAGCACTGTACACCTCGGCATTCGGGGTAATTGTCTTCGACGTGCTTTCAAACAGATTTTCGATGTTGGCTCTACCCAAGAGTTTCCCTGAAGTACAATGCATAAATGGAATTAAGGACGTAAAGCTCGTGCTGGTGGATATCATTGGGAGTATGTAGCGCAATAAACATTGTGATATATTCAAATGTTTTCCAGCTCAATTGCATCATAAATATATTTTTTAAATCCCTTAGAGCTGATTTCATGACAAGCTCGTATCAGTACTCACGAGTAGACGCGTTGAGTTCAATACTAGTAGTCCCGTTAAAAAATCATGAATATTAGTCCATAAATAGTTATAAACAATAGTCATTGGTGGGTGATCAGGCGGAACTCGTGTTATTTTGAATAAAAGGATTAACTGTCAGATTCTTGCTCAACAAATTCACGTAAAAATCACGAAGCAAAAAAACAATTGATATAAAAAATCACTTTATTACGCGATTGTATAAACAGTCATCGTTTCATTGATTATTATAAATTGACCTTATTAAAATAACATCTTTACTCTGAAATTTGCGCACAAAGGACATCTTTGCAGGTGGCGCGAATTGACTACTCCGATATTTGAAGTTCTTCAAAATCTTTTCAACACGTTCCTGAGTAAATGAAGTTAGTGAGAAAATAACTCGTCATAAACTCAAAGAAAATATATAATACCTCCAAAGCTACAAAATGGCTGATTGAGAACTCTGCCAATAGGATTGTAGCCTTGTTGATCATTAGTTTGGTGGTGAGAAATGGCCAGGAGCGGTACAACCCATCGTACTTTAGGTCCATAAAAAATGATTTCATTGAATCGCCTGGTTGTTTTAAAGTATGTTATAAAAAACAATAAAACCCTTATAATTTATTGCAAGCATACATACACATGTTTAGAAACATGACGGATTCACTTGGACCTCCCTTACTCTATAATTGCTGATTAACTGAACTTTCGATCTATCCTTTTTCCGTTATAATGGTGTGCAACCCAGTGGTTTAAACTCTGGATTTAAGATTGATACATCATTCATTATACAAGAAATATCCGGTCTCGTCTTTGAGCCTGCATTGGCACTATTTAGTCTAAGTTCATATTCTTTTTTCGGATTCACGAAACGAACGAGTAATTGGATAAACGAACATATAATAGTGCTCTTCCTCGGACAACTTCGACAGAGCAACTTCTGCAATGTTATGATACCTACGTAAGTCACATTCATGGATGATAAATAACATATAGAACAAGTAAACCTACAGGTTGTTAAACATGAGTGCAAGCATCCTATTCAACTCCGCGTTTCCGCAATCCATGAAAACATCTCCGCCAACCAACTGTTTACTAGCTGTGTCACGAAGAGAAGATGAAATCTCCGGTAGAAGTGTGGTCGCTTATAGTATAAGGATTGGTTTTCGTTATATCTTTCCATTCTTGACTCGCGAACATTAGGGTACGAACATGACCAACAGAACATCATGATTGATGACAAAGCTCTAAATGTAATGAAGAATAAAAATCTTAATATACCATAATAGGATAGTTGTACTAGTCAAATATTTCAAGTTTCAAAATATTTACAAAAGTTCGAAAATATTCTCATATTTTAAACCCTTTCTCATCGCCTTCTGGAAAACTTCTTTCTAATATTGCCGAAATCTCTCGGTTATATTAATACAGTCAACTTCCCACTAAAAAACAGAAGCAAGCTATGAGATACTTGAAATAAAGAAATCAGTATTTGACATTTAACATACTTTAACTGTTGGCTCGCGATTTAATTCCATTGAAACGTTCACTAGATCAAATTTAATTTCTTCATCGACCTCAAGATCTTTAGTTTGCACATCATTAGAATTGGGAATAGTGGATTTTTGTTGCACGTTCGTAGAGGGAAGAAGCTCAGAGGAAGACTTCGTTGCGTTAAATTTTTCATCCAATCTCGTCTAAATCACAGAACACGCCAATAAGTTATCAGTTACTTAAAGCCATTAATACGCGTTGAAGAGTTACTGTACTTGATCTCACCCCTTTCGTTGGTATTGCCGATGTTTCTTCTTCAACTCTCGGTTGTTCATGGAATCTATAATCTCGTTTGGGTCTTGCTTGAACATTATTGCCAATGCAACAAATCTGTACTCCATCGCAAGATAAGATGTATTGTTGACCTTCACCTTTTCATGTTTCGTAAAATCGTTATTATGTTTCAACCAAAAATTTGGATTCGTCCCGTTTTCCTAGATTCAGCCTTATAAAAATAATTTTTATTAATAAAGGTTATCTAAAAAACTGCAAATTAGCAAATAGCAGATTAGCAGGCTACGGAGGAGACGCAGTTCCATGGGTAGCTGTAGTATTGGAATACGAATAATAAAGACGAAGTGGGGAGCTACTGAATGTGACAAGCTAATCTGCAGTTATATAATATATTGACCTTGACTTGACCTTCGAGACGTTCCGCATTCTTCTTTTCCTCTTCCGTACCTTGTTCCTTTATACTCTGTAAGAAACTTCTTGTTACAGTTGCCTTATCCAAATTGCAATCTTTTAATGCCTCAAGATAATTGACCGTATCCCAGTCTTGGCAAGGAGTGTTCAGAAAATATTCGAACCCACGTCCATGGTTTATAGTAAGAAAGTTTAGGTTAAACGTTAGTTATGTAAACAAGCGATGATCCAATTTCCGCGTAATAAATAGATATGTTTTCAATCACGTGGACTGGTCATGTACTCGCAAAGAATGACAGCAAGCTTTAATAAAGAGCTTTGCTTTGATTTTTTAAGCGTGTTATTAAATCAGAACGATCACATGTCATGTCATGTGACGAAGTAAATTTTTGTGGCGCGTCTCGTGTATATAAACTCATTTTTTGTTCCAAAGTTTTTTATCTCAGAAAAACGGAAGTTAAGTTTTTTAACAGTTTTTTGCCTTCATTCTGTCAGTTCTATGAGTATAAAACTTTTATTTTCGTTAGGAATCCAGGTGGACGATTACTTTAGATCATGACTGGTCTCTACTAAGTTTTTTACTATATCGACAACAGTACAATGATTTCTCTGCTGACAAGTGCAAAGAACATAAACGATATGTTCGCAACCTTGCGATTATAATTATCTGTGAACAAGCATCCGAAATTACGATTGAACGGGCTGAGGTGGCACTTGCTTCAGTAAAAGTTAAGTCTTTCTTTTTTTTTTCTTTGTTGTGGATGAGTCTGAGGAGCTTTAGCTCTTTGGATGGGGTTTCGTCCCGTATTCAACTACCCAGCACTCCTGATTTCGTTCGGGGAGTGTATGAGTTTCGTCTCGGGTGGTTTCGTCCCGCATGAATAGGTTTTTTTTTTTGTTGGAAGCGGACGAGTCTGAGGAGCTTTAGCTTATTGGATGGGGTTTCGTCCTGTGTTCAATTACCCAGCACCCCTGATTTCGTTCGGGAGTGTACGAGTTTCGTCTCGGGTGATTTCGTCCTTGCAACCATGAGCTGTGTCTTGCGATTTAATGTTGATAGACTTTCCTTGAATTTACTAATCATTATTTCCGATAGAGTGAGAAGAAATCGGAATTAGTAAACGAATTCTGGGATAGTTCTATGTTGCTACGAAAACGGAAGCTTACAACTATTGCTGAACGCACAGCATTGATGGTATGGAATGCTTGACTTATCGACATTCCAATATACGTGATGAAATCCTAACGCCTCTACTCTTCTGTTTTTAAAGGAGGTGCATACAAAAAATGTTATGACTTCGACGTTCAAACAAGATCTGATTGTGCGAGAGGAGATTACAAAACAAGAACGAATTTACGAAATAAATTTGCGAGACGCCTAGAGGAGACAGACCTATCGTATAAGAGTCAAGGAAGGTATAACAGATTCATAAACAGTGCGTTGATTCGTTTTTTTTTTTTTTATTGAAATAAAAGTAATTTAACTAGTTCGGTGATGATATGCCTATCGTCAACAAAAGTGGGAAAAAATTTTATCGTTACGAAAGGTTAAGATGTTGATAAGGCATTGAATTTATGCAATCATTTTTTAATGATTTATGTTAACATGAAATCTTCACGAAATTTTCTATTGTTTTTACGTGAATAGGCCAAAACCACACTAGAACCATCATTATCGAGTTCAGAAATGTAGTCTAGCTCAGAAATGACGACTAGCGGTACAGACGAAGCTAATAGCTCTGGTTACATTAGACCACAGACTCCTCATCAAATTGCTAGAAATGCATACAACCAAGAATTATCAATTAATGAAAATGTTCTAATAATGTCTGCTAAAAACTTAGCGAGTCTAGAAGAATCCAAGGTATTTGTTTGAAGATATTATTATTTTAGCGTGCATATAATAAATACTCAATAATTTTTATTGACAGTTTTTCAATGAATTTATCCCATATTTTCTAAAATATGCGAATTAGAAATAGATAATATATTTTCGTAAGTATTTAAACTGCTTTAGGATGTATATTATAATGTTATAGCTAATATCTTCTCGATTTATAGTTGCATAAATGATGAAGTTATGGACATTCGAGGAGATAGCGGGTTTTAAAATTTTTGTCAATTGATGAATATATAAAATTGCTATCAAAAAACCAAAAAGGAATGTTCAATTACCGGATCTTTGGCGTAATATTATAGAAGAATACTATAAGGTAATAGCGTATTGTGGTTTTTTTTACAGATTATATTACTTTATAGGAAACAACGGAAAATGGATCAAGAAAAAATATTTCTGATTGGATTCGCATTACAAGAGTTGAATGTTCTAAAAAAGGATGATACTGAAAATATATTTAAGTTTAAGGAATATAAATATTGAGTTATTCTTCCAATGTAAGTATTGGTTAAGGCTTTATTATTATTTATTGCCTGTTATAACCAATATCTTATACACCGTCTCCCAAAAAGAACGCAACACCTGATCGTCGATCTTTAAATGTTAAAATTTTGATCAGATCAGATCAAATCATGATGAAATTTATAGTATATACAGTGTATAATCTAATCTATTTGG